AAGCCTCAAAGAAGTGTAGCGTTACCCTCTCCTTTTCCATAGGTGAATACTGACGAGTGTGCGGAAGACACAGCTGCCCTTGAGCAGAAGTGGGACTTGAACCCAGGGAGTCAGGCTGCTGCCTGTGTGCCCAACCCACAACACCAAGCTGTCCCAAGCACTCTACAAACATGGAAGTGTTTCAGGCAGTCTGCATACCGATCCCCTCTCCTCACCGATCCTGGCCACAGCTAGATTAATGAACTCTGCTCTGTGCTGGGCAGTAGAGGACGGGAGCCAAGCAGTGATGTACAACCGCCTGCCAGGGGGAAGCCAGCCTAACACCTAATCGGATCAGACACCCCTCCCAGGCCTTCCTCTACCTCCTCCACTCAGCTCCTACCCCCCCCCCACACACACACACACACACCCTGCAGTTCTACCCTGCCTGAGGTCTGCAGCTGCCCTAGTTGATTTTATAAATGGCCCTTGCAGGAGGTGGGCACCTTGGCTAATTGAATCAGCGCCCAGGAGGCAAGAGGCAGGAGGCTGGTTAGCATCACCAATGAAAAGTGGTGGCAGCCACAGCTTGAGTGGAGTCACCGGGGAGGAGCCTAAGTGAGCCAGAGAGGCCCAAGCAATCTGGGCCCTGCCTAGATGCTGAAAGTCCACAGTGGAACCTCCTGAGACACCCCGCTGTAAGCATGGGGCAGGTTTATGCAGATCACACCCAACACACACAAGCAGCTTGAACACTCTGGAGAAAGTCGGAACGATGGGAAAAGAAAGAGTCAGAGAAGAAAGGAAGAGAGAGAGGAGCATAGCACATTGGCGGTCATGAATTTGGGTACACACCTCTAAGCTGGGGGACCTGTGTTCTTACCTGCCCTGAAGCCACTGCATAATTCAGTTGAGTGTCACACAAGAACTTCTCAGTCAACGGCAAGCTGTATATAAAACTGTAAGAATAAAGTAAATGAAAAAATTCCTCCTGTCTGGTTTGTTTGTTTGTGTTTGTTTGTTTGTTTGTTTGTTTGTTTTGGTTGGTTGACTGGCTGGTTTGTTTTCAAGACAGGGTTTCTCTGTGTAACCTGGCTATCCTGGAACTCACTCTGTAGACCAGGCTGGCCTCGAACTCACAGAGATCTGCCTGCCTCTGCCTCTTAAAGGCATGAGCCACCACACTGCAGCCTAGTATTTTCATGGTTCCTCGTCTATGCTCAGATGTTTCCGTACACAAATACCATTGTGTAACTATTGCATGTACTATTTCACACATGAACAAGCTCTACTTGTTTGTATCCTAAGTGAAACAAGCTATGCTATACATATAAAATATAAATATTATAGATATAATGATTATATAAATGTATATAAATTATACATTGTACGCATATATATGCCATTTAGTATATAGCAATTATATTAACACAGAGACATATATAAGCATACATACACACATACTGTATACCCCAAGTATGCAGTTAGATGTCATCTAGGTATAAAATTCAGTGGTGACAACAGGTAGTGACAAATTTCTCTCAGTGCAAGTCCCTTCATTAAGTAACCTATGACTGCAATTAAAATATTAAGGCCATCTACAAGTGTCTTAGATACAGCTAAGCCTCTCGTGGTATCAATGGATACCAAGCAGCTTGCCTTGAGCCCAGAGACCCTCTCTGGGCTGATGTCCTTTGCGGTTCCATTGCCCTGGCCCACAAAGGCAGGTCTGTCTCCTTACCTTTGAATTTGTCCCTAGCAGCCTAGCTGGCTCAGTAGTTCTTCAAGGAGGCCTTGCCTCCAGGTGTCTGCCTGAGCTCTTTTAAGCTGCATATCTCCCAGACCCATCAGTAGCCATCTCTGCTCACTGCTCTCCACTGAGAGAACTCCTTGAGTTGGGTCTGGGGCTGTGGAGCCTTCCAGAATCCCCGCTTCTGGGTGAGGGGGACATACAATGGGAGACGCTTTGTGGTGTTTGCTGAATGAATGATGCACGCATCATGGAGACACAGTGGCTAAAGCTGGCTAGGAGGCACTCAGCTCCCTTGCAGAATGGGGCACACCCACTGGCTCATTTCCTCTCAGAGGGCATCGAAAGCCTAGTCAGCGTTTCCCCAACAGCCCTCTAAAGACTTTCATTGCCCCTCCCAGCTTCCCTAAATGCTCTACTTCCGCAGCTACCAACCCTCACCCCACTTTTCCCCAGTCAAGCTGGCCACCACTTCCCCTTGTGAGATCACGTGATCTCAGAGTAGCGCGCCCAGAAAGTTCTGTCTCTTGAAGGTGAAGGGCGCAATGGGACAGGGATTGGCTCAGAATCCCGTATCTTGAAAGCGTGCACACACTTCCGGAGTAGAATTCTGAAGGTCTGAAGGGACCCGCTCTATAAAGCAGACTCCTGAAACTGCCCCCAGATGCCTTCAGACAGGGAAATTCGTCCCTCAGGACTAGGCACCCACCACGCCTGGCAAGCCTTGCCCCTGCTTGCAGTTTCCACAGGCTGACACTGCCCCCTGCTGGTCATATCCAGCATGACCACGTCAATGCCACCTGAGGAAATTAGTAACGTGCTCTGAGACGCGTCTACCGGACTCCTGCACCAATGTTCTTCACCCATAACCTGAGGCACCGGGGACCCTTGGAGAACTGAACCTACACGGATCTCGGAACTCAGATTGGATGCAAACCTTAGCACAGACAAAAGGGTCAGAGAAGCCTCTCACCCAGTCCAGCTTACCTACTCCTTCATTAAGTGGCAAAAGCTCCCAGAAAACAAAACCTAGGTGGCCACACACCTGAGGTCTTGAGGGCATTGATCCGTGCGTCTGTTGCTCATTGCTCTCCTGAATTCTAGAACCTCCTCTAGCTCCATCCCCACTCTGACTGGACATACTTCGGCCATCTTAATCCCAGTATGTGAGGAGCTAAGTCCTCGCTGGAAACCTCCCTTCTTCGTGGGCCACATCCAGCAGACACTCATGCTCCACCGGAGCTAACTCTCTAAGACATTTTGGATCCACTGGAGGACTTAAGCTCCACCTCTCACCCCCAAGTCCACTTCCTGCAGCTGCTAGAATTACTGTCCTAAAGATTTGGCCCGGTGGGATTCCTCATCCAAAAGCCTTGACCCTTACCCCGCCCTCCTTACATATTCTGAATCTGCCATGAAGATGCTACTCCTTCACTTACAGTAGGTTTCTGTGTTGATAAGATCTCCCAAGGTTCAAGCTATCCTAAGTCAAAATCGCATGTGACACACCTGACCTACAGAGATCGGAGGTCATTGCCAATGCCCAGTACTGGGGAAAAGCAGTATTGATGAGCAGGGAAGAGATCAAAGTTTAAGGTTCAAAACTGTGGTTTCCACTGGATGTGTATTGTTTCCATGTTATCACTAAGTCAAAACTCCAACCGAACAGTGATGGATCAGGGATTGGATAGTGTCAATCAAGCCTTCCCGCCACCGAGTCTCCAACTGCTTCCTGACTCCTCCTCAGTGTCATCATCATTCTCCCCAGCCAGGATCTTTTCTCCTCAGACCCCTGAAGTACCATCAAACTCCTTCCAACTCTGCAAGGCTCGCCATAAACACCACATTTGGCTATGAAACCTTTCTTGGTCTCTCAATGCTTATCTCCTCTGAGGCACACGGCCTTGTTTTGCTTTGTGTGGCATTTATGTCCCCTTCTCAAGGATGGGCATCTGTGCCTTGTCTCTCTGAGCTCCTCACACCCTGAGGCCAGGAAAGTCTACAGCTTCCTAGACATCATGTTCCATTGTATGGGCTGGCCAGACCAAGATGAGAAATACATGACCATTCCTCTGTACCAGCTCAGGTTTTGATCAGGAGAGAAACCATCAGGACACAAAGTCTGTGGGGAAATGAGACACAAGAGAGTCTTGTGCCCTAAGGGTTTAGGGGAAATTGCAGGGCTGGAAGGGCTCCTGGCTCCCATGGTATCACAGGCACCCTCAAATTACAAAGGGCAGGTCTGGGGCAGGAGAGATGTCTCAGCAGTTAAGTACTTGCTGCTCCTCCAGAGGACCCAGGTTTAGTTCTAAGCACCCACATGGCAGCTCCCAACTGCCTGTCAATATAACGCCTTCCTCTGGCCTCTGCGGGCACTGGGCATGAATGTGGTATGCATACATACAGAAAAAGGGAGGTGGCCAAGTCAAGTCCTAGGAAAAGCTGGCCAGGGCCACACAACAGGTAAGTCTTATTCCTAGTGCTTAAAAGACACAATAAGTAATTCCAAGTCTTGGGACTGATAAGATGGTTCATGGGTAAAGGTCACCATGACTGATGACCTGAGTTCAATCCCTGGAACTCACATGATGGAAGGAGAGAACTGACTCCAGCAAGTTGTCCTTTGACCTCTGTGTGTGCAATGTGGCACAAGCCCTGCCTGCCCATATACACTAAATAAGTAAATCAATGTAAAACAATGTTAAATGCCAAGTGTTCCCAGCCATCCAGATTTTCTACCAAGCCTTCATCCATCCACTGCCATTTTTTTTTTGGTCCTTGCGAAAATCAAAGTCTCCAAAGTTATACGCTCATGGGTTTGGAGGTGGGGCCTTTGAGAAGTGACTGGGTGATGAGTGGACTGCCTTTGTTGACTAATTAAGTCACGCGTGGGCTAGTGCATTATCCAGGGAACAGCTTTGCTCTCCCTGGTATACTTGGTGTCTTCTTGGCACCTGGTGTCCTCTGTGGTATTATCATGCAAGAAGAAAAGGCCCTCACCGGATGCCCACTCTGTGTTTGTGGACTCCGCAGCCTGAAGACCCATGAGCTGACAAAAACCCAAAACTCTTTTCTTCATAAACTACCTAGCCTGTGGCATTCAGTTATAGCAACAGAAAACATCAAGATAGACATTTTCCTATGGCACCCAGACCTTCTAGGGCCTCTGACCCAGTCTAGGCCCAGGAAAGACCTCACGGCTAGGTGAAGAAGCATTCAGTGGGCCAGCCAAAGCATCCACCCCACCTCACAGCATTCACGCCACAAAGGAGCAGTTTAAAATGAGTTTAATGACTAGAGGTTGAGGGACGACAGCCACCCTCCCTGCTAACCGGAAGCCAGGGTTGTCCCAGGGAGGGAACATCTGTAGGTGGGAGGCCCACACAAGCCAAGGAACCAGGGGATCTGTGGAAATCCTTTTGTCTCCTAACAGAAATGGCCTAAGTTCCCTTTAGACCCAAGGCAGGGAGAGGAAGTGGAAAAGTCGTAGGAGGAGGGTGGGTCCCTCCAGGGCCCTCTTCCTGCTCTGGGCTGGTGACTCACACTGTAAGCAAACACTGCAGCCCAAGCCTAGGGCTCAGGACGGGGCAATGACCAAAAGGACTCCAGCAGAAACCCCCTCCACAGCTTCCAAAGACCTCCCTGGGGACCACATCTTCCTTCTCCCAGCCACCCCCCTTACTTTGGGCCTTTTTTAAGTATGACATTGTCATACTCCGTTACCTGTGGCCAGCCAGGCACAGAGGAGTCTTGCTGGAGTGGGTTGGGACCCCCATCAGCAGTGGCCTGCTCCCTCCACGTCTCCCCCTGGAGCTCCCGTGGTCTGTCATAGAGGGAGAGGGCAGCCACGCCCTCAGGCTCGTCGTATATATGGTCGGGTGGAGGGGCCACAGGACCCTCCTGGATGCTGTCGTAGAGCGGGTCAGGAAGGAGCCGTGGAGGACCTTTCAGGATGCCCCTGAAGCTCTTCCCCAGGGAGAGAGCCACTGTATCGAAGGGTACGGCATATTCGCCCTCGAGGCCCCCTGGCCTCATGCCGGGCACCGGTGTGCCAGGGGAAGGAGAAGGCAGAGAGTCGTGGGGCCGGGAGTAGGGGCTTTCGGGCCGAGGCAGCACGGTGGCCATCATGGACCCTGTGGCTGGCAGGGTTGGAGGCCCAGAAGGGGCGGCATTCTTCTGGGCAGCAATGGCCTCTTCTAGGGCTTGGAAGATCTCATTGCCTTGTCTTGTTTCAAACTCAAAGCTGCCTTCTCCAGAGACACAGCGTCGGCCAGCCTCGAAGGAAAAGGTCACCTGTGGGAAGGGGGGAGGACATTCTTTCAGCACCGTTGTTTTCTGGACGTCCACCCAAACACAGATGTTCTGGCCCCGGTCCCCCTCCATCAGAGATTTCTGTTCAAGCGCTCGTCCCTCTGCCCCCGTTTGCTGGGGTTGGCTGGTGACTATTTAGGGAAAGGCTCTCACTCTGTAGCCCAGGCAGGGCCTCCAACTGTCTCTGCCTCAGCCTCCTTAGTGCTGACATTAGCTGTGTGCCACTACATCTGGCCAACAGTTTCTCCTGACAAGAACACTTACTCTCTCTCTCCCTCCCTTCCACTCAAGCATCAACTGACTGACAGACACTCAAGAAATGTCAGCCGCGCCTCGGCCCTCCCCACCCCTTCTCCACCTCATCTCTCTCGTCACCCAGACCTCTTAGGTTTCACTCCTTTCCCCTCCCTGGTTCTCCCCCCACCCTACCCCGTCTCTCTGGCTGGCCCTCCCTTCCTTCCATTCTCCCTTTCTTTATTGGCTTTCTGGGTCTTTCTGGCTCTTCCTCTTAGGGAGCTCATCTTTGGTCTCAACCTGCCCAGTTCCACCCCTCGCTCACCTTGTCACGCCCAAAGCGCCGAAGAAACCTGTAGGGCCAGTCATATAGCTGTGTGCCTGGCTCAGGGCCACCCCATAGCTCCAGGGCACTCACCCCGGCCCTGAGGGTATAGGAGCCTCGGAGCCGGCACCGCTCACTGGCTTCTGTGGGCCTCATGGTCACAGCATATTCCTTACAGGTCACCCCTGGGGAGGAGGAGAAAAGGAAAGAGGCAGCTACAAGAAACAGTGGGCCTCCTTCCGTGGTACCCATCTGAGGCAAGCATGCCAGAAGTTCTCAAGGAAAACTTGTGACCTATGACCCCACCTCGGATCTTAAAGCCTGGACCGCTGACCTCACCTCTTCCCCTAGAAGACATCTCTCATGCCCTCAGCCACATCACCCTGATTCTGGGCCCACATCCTTCCTGCCAGCACTGCCAGAGCCACAGCTTGGTTTTCTGTACTCCATCTCTCCCCTAGTCCCTGCAGTCAAACAAGCTACAGGTAGAGCCTGACCCCGCCCTCCTACTACCAATGCCCCTCCCCATGGGTGGAGCTTAAATGGAAGAGCCCCTCCCCTTCTCCCCTCCCTCCCTCTCTCCCCTCTGTCTCCATCACCAGCCCACAAAGCGAGAGCTAGGCCTCCCTTATCAGCACTGGGTTCTCTAGTCACAGGACACCTGCACAGCCAAGCCCAGACAGACAGCAATTCTTTCCGCATACAATCACTCCGCTGCCACAAAGAGAGGGTCAAGACCAAGACCGTCGGCCTCCAATCAGGCAGGACAGGGTGAGCCCAAGGTGACATGGGGGCAAGCTGGTCTCCAACCACCTTTGGGTCACACCAAGAAGCCAGGAAGAGGCACTTGTAAGCAGGGCCCCGGGGTGACCACAAGACAGGAAGGCTTGACCCCGCAGCCAGTCCACACCTCCTCCCACCCTCCTGCAGGGAGAGAGTGCCCCCTCGGCCCCTCGCCCTCACCTGTAGTAGAGCTGCTATACAATTCATTCTCCTCCATGCAGGGTCTGTCCTTCTTTTCCTCCAGTCCTGAGGGCTCCTTCCTCTGCCCCTGAGGAGGTGGTCCCAGGTCTTACGGCCAAATCCCACCCCGAGGCCACTCTGACCCACAGTCTTTCAATGTGACTCTGACTGCACTTTAAATAGGGCTCCCATCAAGAAGAACTCCCCGAAAAAGGGCTTTGTTTCTTCAAGCCCCTGCCCACAGGAAGTATCTAACATTGCCCTCTCTAGTGTGTCCATGGGCTGCTTTGTACCCCTCACCGGGAAAGCCAACAGGCAGATGGCCTGTATCCAGTCACTGCGCTCTGCTGAGGGGGCTGCCAGCAGGTACAGACGCTCCTTGGTCTCCAGGATGAAGGCACTGGTGTCCCGGGGACTGCTGGCCTCACTGCCTGCCTCAGCCACCCGTAAGCAGTCGCTGAGGCGGACAACCTTCCGAGTGGCCTCTCCTCGCCGGGTCTTCTCTGGGCCATCCTGGAGCTCCAGTCTGGCCAGGGCACAGCCAGACTCTCCATATAACACGGCTGTGAATCGGCGCCACTTCTGAGCCCAGGCATGACAGGTAGAAGCCAAGAGGGAGTCATCAGAGGTGGAGAGACAGTCATTATGGGGAGAAGAGGGACCGTGGGAAAGGGAGTGGGGTGGGGCAGCAACCCGGGATGTGGAGAAATAGGGGTGCACATCACAGAAGAACCAGAGAGGCAGTGAGGACAGTGGAGACCGTGGAACGGGAACGAGAGAGCTAAAGATTAGTCAGGAGACCAAGATCTGCAAGCCGGGTAAGGACCACAGTACCTGGCCTATGGATGCAGAGTGCAACAAGACAACAGGCCCATCTGTCAGGTACTGGGGAAGAGAGCCTGCCTGAGTCACGGAAGCCCAGAGAGGAACAGTAAGGGGAGGGCAGGCTAGACCAGAGACAAGTGTCCACTCCATAGGAAGGCTCTGACTCCAAGGACTTCCAACAACTTTCCTTTTTTGTCTCACCATTAACAAGAAACCAAGAGCTAGAGACCCAGACAGGGAGAGGCAGGGACTGGGTGACAGCAGGAAGCAGAGGATCTTCTCCTTCAAAGAGGCTAGGGAAGGAGGGGTTGAACACCCTGGGGGCACAGCTTCATAGCAATCAAAGGTGAAAGGAACCTCCACTGTCATCCCCAACTGGCCCCCTAACTCTTCCTTCCATACCCTTCCACCTCACCTCCCCCCAATCCAATGAGCAAGAAAACAAAGAAAAAGATGAAGTTGGCGTCTGCTTCCTTCCCCCAGTGCACACACACGAGGACAAACAGCCCTCAGCAAAGAGGGTGATCCGGGGCCTGGTTTAGGAGGCAAAGCACCTTCAAAAGGCGGGCAGGCATCTTCCCCACGTTCTTGTCCAAACTGGTGGAGCACATGGTCTCAAGAGGGTCAAGGACATCAAGATCCCCTCTACCCCAGGAATCAGCGCACCCTCCCCCACCCCCAAGCTGCCCTGCCCCGCCCGAACCCCCCGCCTTGCTCTTACCTTGCCGAAGGTCTGCTGCTGCTGAAGATGCAGGAAGCCTTGCTTCACCGCCACCTCCTCCATCCTGACCATCACCGGTTCAGCGCCCCACGGCCATCGCCTCTGCCCTCTCTCCTCTCTCTTCGGGGCCTGTTCCCCCTTCTCTCTAGTTCATTTCCTCTCTGCCTAGAGTTTTCTACACTATTCTAGTCTGCTTGATGACGACAGGCTGATAGGCCCTGTGGTTTCTTGCTCTGTGTGTGCTTTTTTTTTTTTTTTTTGAGTACACTTCAGGCTGAAGCTTCCTTCCTGCATTTCCAGTGAGTAACATACAATTTCCAAAAAAGCAAAATCTCACACTTCTGCCGAAGCTGGTGTGAGGGACTGAAACAGAAGAAGGAAGAGGCCCCCAAAATCAAGTGGAACAAGAAAGCCGGCAATGAGGGCTCTGTACTGCAGGCAGGATGCTGACTATATCAGAGCTGGAAGAGACCTCAGGAATCAGTCCACACGACCTACTCACCGCAAAGAGAGAACTAAAGGTAGGGATGGTCTGAAGGGCCTGTAAGGCTACCAGCCAGGTCCCACGTCTCCCAACTCAGGCAAAGCTAAGCCATATTCCCAGTAATGTACAGAAACAGACATAAGACTGGCAATTGGGGATCCCCAGCCAGCTACACACACACACACACACACACACACACACACACACCAGTCCCATTATATAAAAGTATTTCCTACCTGCCAACAATACACAGCCCTGTGGATAGTCTAGGATAAGAGCATTCCCTCTAGAGAAGATTTATTCCTCAAGTACATCTCAGCTGTTGGCTGTCTTCCTCACGGGTGTTCCACAGACACTTGGGATTCATGTGGAACTTACCTCAAATCACGGGAGCTTCAGAATTCCTCATTCTCTTTCAAAAGCCATATTTCAGTCCTTGACAAAGGCAGGCCAGGCAGGAGCACATCTGTTCGCAACTTACCTGAGATCACAGAACTGAGATGGGGTAGATTGTTAATGCAATGGAATTTTATTTATTTGTTTGTTTCATTGGTTGGTTTTTGATGTTTAGAGACAGAGTCTCAAGTAGCCTGGGCTGGTCTCCAATACATGTGTAATCATGCCTAATTAATGCGATTTTTTTTTTTTAAATCTCACGTGTGTGTGTGTGTGTGTGTGTGTGTGTGTGTGTGTGTGTGTGTGAAGCATACCTGTGGAAGTCAGACATCAACCTCAGGTATCCGTCCTCACCTCCCACCTTGTTTGAGACAGGGTCTCTTGTTTGCTCCTCATAAGCCAGAGTAGCTGGCCCACGGGAGGAGGCAGCTTCTGGAAGTTCCCTGCCTGCGGGGATTGCAGACACTAATTTAATATCGATTTACGTAAGTTCTGGAGATATGAACTCACACCCTCATGCCCGCATTGCAAGCCGTTTGCCCGCTGACTCATCTTCCCCGCCCTAATGCAACATCTCTCAGGCCCTAAGCAGAATGCAGATGCCATACAGAAAGAGAATCACTCTTAGGAAAAGTCATGTTCCATGGAGAAATTCACCTTAGAGCCAGATGGCTTGAAGAAGCAGTCTGGAATAGTTAGGGGAACTGAGAATTAGACCATACTTCTGGGGGTAATCCCATAAATGGTGTTTATATAACTCAGCCCATTTCTTCTACCACGGGGTTTCAGTGGCACACTGCTCATGCCGTCTGCTGTAGACGCCATGTGCAGACCAAAGCAGCTCCGAAAGATGAATGGGACAGCTCTGGGTTTTGGGGGGCAGGGGTGTTACTCTAGCTCATTACCATCAGCCTTGCTGCCAGGGTTTGAGCAGGTTGGACCAAACACCAAGGAGCACCACGAATGTTGTGGTGGGAACACTGACCTGGGAAGTGGCTAGGAGTATGAAACGGGGCATGGATGGCCTCCCCTGTCTTTGGAGCATCACAGACTCTTCTCTTCCTTTCTCACCTGAGAAATTCTACTCGAACCCAGGTATACAAAACGGGTATACAAATCAAGCATTTACTGATAATCAAACATAAGGGAACATTTTAAAAAGAAGTCTTTGGTATATGTGTATTGTTTATTAAAGAAAGAAGCAAATTTCCATACTGAGATAAGTACATTTGCTCATTTTTACACAAATAACTACATGCTGGCTGAATATTTGATAATGTATGACACGAAAACCTCATTAATCAATCCCCACAACATACTCATTGAAAACGAGGGACACTGGAGCTAGTGGTGGTCTGGAGGGCTCCTGCAAGTCTACCAAACCAGAGCCCAAGTCTCCCAACTCGGGCAAAGCTGAACAACATACCCAGTATTGAAATTCTCCTGCCTGCCTCCCATCTTGCCTGTAGGGATCGCAGATGCTACTACAGTACCAATTTACAGAACGCTTGTCCTCAGGGCTTTTCAGAGTGGACTGATACTCTGATTTTACAGAATGCTTGTCCTCATTGCTTTTCAGAGTGGACTGATACTCTGATTTTACAATCATCAATGCTGAGAATTCACTTCACATTCCCACAGAACAGCTGGGCATGGTGGCACACACCTGTAATCCTAACGCTTGGGAGGTGGGGCCAGGAGGATCAGGAGTTCAAAGTCATCCCTAGCTACACAGCTAGTTCACAAGGTAAGCCTTGGAAACAAAAGATCCCTCCCCCTCAAAAAACACATACATACATACATACATACATACATACATACATACATGCATACGTAGTATAAAATGGCAGTAGTATGTTTAGGGTCATTTCAGAAGTTGTTGGAAATCCTACGCAAATCCTAAGCCAAAATACATGTAATAATCTTTTGTGAAACAAGTCAGCAATTCAAAGAGCAGTGTTTTGTTGTTGTTTTGAGAATTTTTTTTCTGGTTGGCTTTTTTGTTGTTTTTTGTTTGTTTGTTTGTTTTCAAGACAGGGTTTCTCTGTGTAGCCCTTGCTGTCCTGGAACTTGTTTTGTAAACCAGGCTGGCCTCGAACTCAGAGAGATCCACCTGCCTCTGCCTCTGCCTTCCAAGTGCTGGGATTAAAGGCATGCGCCACCTCCACCCAGCTCAAAGAGCGGTTTTTAAAATCAAATATTCTAACAATACAATCCAAGGACATACTAATTTTACAGGTGCTGAGGAATGAATGACTGTAGGAAAATATTCTTTTTTTTTTTCTGTTATCAAGCCGTTATGTTTCTATAGCAGCAGAGAACCTGGTGTGTGCAGTGAAAGTGCAGCAGTTTGTGGCATATAATAATCTCGGATCTGAGCTAAGTGTTTCAGGCAGAGTCTCTGGCACTCCATGGTTTGACAGTATGCACAGCAAACAGTGAGCATGTTGTCGGTTTAGAAGCATGGCTACAATGAAGTCTTGCAGAGCAATGCAGGGAAAGCACTGCCAGAATCCCCTTAGATTCATTACACATTTGGTTTAGAATTAATTGTTAGTCTTGCATGTTCAGAGACCTTTTACAGTTGCCTTTTTTTTTTTTTGCTACTCCATCCCCTATGTTCAGTTTCATGACCCCATATAGGGTTATGACTCAAGAGTTTAAGACCCCAGGCTCTAGAGAGTCTGGTTTACCTGGAACCTATGTGGTCTTTGCCTCTGCCTCTTGGAAAAAGATGGGGTTTGGAGTCACCCTGAGTGCAGGCAGAGCAATAGCCTTCACACTCTAATGGGCCAATCTTATCAAAAGCACAGGTTCCGGCGGTGGTGGCTCATGCCTTAATCTCAGCACTTGAGAGGCAGAGAGAGATGGATCTTTGTGAGTTCAAGGCCAACCTGGTCTACAGACCAAGTTCCAGGACAGCCAGGGCTACACAGAGAAACCCTGTGGTTCTGAGCAGTGTGGGAGTACATGCCTATAATCCCAACGCTTGGGAGGTAGAGGCAAGAGGATTGCAATAAGTTCAAGGCCAGCCTGGTCTTAATGGTGAGTTCCAAGCCAACAAGGGCTGCACAGCAAGGCTGTGTCTCAAAGCATCAAAAGAAAATCAACCCAAAAAAGAATACAGATTCTTACTGGATGGCTCTGATGTGATACTGCTGTGGAGTGGGCCAGCCCATGCCTCACAGGTGGCGCACGCCTTTAATCCCAGCACTCGGGAGGCAGAGCCAGGCGGATCTCTGTGAGTTCGAGGCCAGCCTGGTCTCCAAAGCGAGTTCCAGGAAAGGCGCAAAGCTACACAGAGAAACCCTGTCTCGAAAAACCAAAAAAAAAAAAAAAAAAAAAAAAAGAATGCTTTCTTTCTCAACCAAGCCCCAATCTTCCAACCTGAAGGTAAACCGGATATATTCCACTCAGAACCACAGGGGGGCGCCCAGGTTTACCAGATTCCCTGGAAACTTTTTAAACCTGGCCTCACAGATTCCAGACACCCGGATCCCATCCCTGGCCTGCCCAAGCTGGAGAGGCACTCTTTCCACAGCCATAGTCTGAAAGGGGTAAGGAGCTAGAGGCTACTAAGAGGACACATGTCTTCCATCAAGTTCAACTTCACCCGGCCAGGTTGGGAATCCTGAAGTGGAAACACTAACCACAGTACCTTCTGCCTGGCCTCTGGGGAACCACAGAGCAGGAATCAAGACTCCGTTCCTACAACAGAGGTGTAGAAAATGAGAAGGCTTTGGGGTCTCCAGGCCCCAGTGTCGGGAAGCAAAAATGTCACAAAGGGTTCCCAAGGTTCATACTGAGGGACAGGTGGGGTTTGGGCTAGCCCTTGGCTTCCTTACTCAGAGATTAGGTGACTCCAAAAGATCTCTGAGGTGGGGGGCAGCTACTCAATGGGCAGCTCTGGGCACACAAGAGAAAGGTTTAAAATGGGCAGAGAGATGATGTGGACAGGAGAAGGATAAAGGACTGGGCAAAGTAAGTGAGGATGAGGACAGGTGCCTGCCACCTCAGCTCCAGTGGTTCCTGACTGTGGAGGGTAGGACAATACACACCCCGGGATTCACTGTTAGCCCTGCCACCTCAGCTCCAGTGGTTCCTGACTGTGGAGGGTAGGACAATACACACATCCCGGGATTCACTGTTAGCCCTGCCACCTCAGCTCCAGTGGTTCCTGACTGTGGAGGTAGGACAACACACATCCCAGGATTCACTGTTAGCCCCGCCCTTTCCCCCATGAAATATGTACAATGGTCCTCCTGTATCCATGGTTTCACAGACTGTAATTCAAAATCACTAAATGGAACACTCCAGAAACAAGCAATCCTTTAAAAAAAAAAAAAAAAAGTAAAATGACACCTTTCACTGTTCTACTTCATTATCTATCATTATTCATCTTATTGTGGCTACTTTATAACTTTATCTTTTGTATATATGGGGAAACAGCATATAGATGTTCCCTCCTGTGTAGTTTCAGGCAATGTATCTTCCAAGGATAAGGGAGGCATATTGCACTACGAAAAGAGAGGGTTCAGTTCTCAGCACCTTGGACCAGGAAAGGCACCGAGTAACTTTAAGAGCAAACTGGCCAGAACTGAGCCAGAACTGAAGAGTGTGCATTGTGAGGGAGAAGGGTATAGAAGAGATGAAGTCAGACCACACGGCATCTATTCAGTGAGAGTCCCTTGAAGACTTTAAACAGGAGTGTAAATTGTCTGTACTTGAGGTTAATTTTGCAGAGGTATGGAGAGGTACAGGAAGAAGGGAAGCTATAACAGGAACCAAAGTAGGGCTTAGAAGAAATGTAACAGGGATATCAGCAGTGAAGATAGGAGCCGAGTGGGGTGTGAATTAGATATATGTTCAACTGGACATGAAGGTGAAGACTGTGGAGAACTATGAGGCCGAATAATCAAGATCATTCCTTAGTTTATTTTGAGAAACTGGGTAAATTGGGTGAGGTACCATTAGAAGGGTAAGAGAAAGGGAGAACCAAGTGTATCAGGAGAGACTGGACAGGCACCTGAGTAGTCTAGCCTACCAGAAAGCTGTAATGTCTACCCAATCAGCCAAGTAGGGAAGCCAAAGAATGTCACTGCCACCGAGACCCCAAGAATCTACAACTGCAGAGCAACACAAAGCAGGGAGCCCCTGATTCCACCTCCCCTTACACACACCTTTGCCACTTTACAGTCATGGAACTAATGATTGGCCACTGGAAGGCTGAAGAAAGAGAGGGGGAGAGAGGGAGAAAAGAGGGCGAGAAAGAGATTAACAGGGAGAGCTTGCCAGAAACAACAGTAAGCTCTGTCTTACTTCTGCGTCCTAAATCTTCTGAGTCAGTCTCATTCACTGAGCCAATTTTGCAGGCTGAACCCCAGCTACAGGGAAGTCTGGGTAATGTAGTTCCTACTTGTCCTACCTTTGCGAACCAGAAGACACACTAGGAGGTAGACGGAGGTTGAAACGACAGATGAAAACCAGCCCAATATATCCGCAACAGAAATACTGTGGGCCTCATTACCATCCTCATTTGCACCGCAAGCGGCAGCCCCAGTAACAAGGCAGGTTTGGCTCTGTTAGCAAACTTAAAATAACTAATGTTGTCGAAATCCTGCTGATTTAATCTGGGAGCCTTGAATATAAGCCCGAGTGGAATCCAATGGAAAATAGGAATCGACCTTCTCTAGCACAGAAAATTGGTGGAGACTTGGGCCTCGGCGTGCAGATATTGACCTCACCCAATCCAAGAAGGATAGCTTTCCCCTTCAGACAGGGGATCCTAAGCACCTCTCCCAGCATCTGACCCCTCCCGGGGGGCTGCCTGTAGCACTGGTCAAAATAGCAATCGTTTTTTGTAAAATTAAACGGCGGCTCTCTACATTTTTTTTATCATTGCTAATTGGAGGCTATATCCACGGCTGTTGGTGGAGGAGAAAAAGACATTAATAAAAACAAGGCGATCGCGACTGGATTTGCTAGTGAAACCCGGATCAGAAACAATGACCCTGGCCCCCTAGAACAGGCTAGAAAAAACACAAACGCGGCCTGGTTAAGAACAGTGTTCCGGGAAGTCATGAACGGTGCAGGTAACCCAGGTGGAGGTCTTTGGCCCTGGGGCAGGGACGTCCAGCGGCAAATCAAGCAGGCCGCACGTGGACAGGCGAAGCAGGGTGCAGGGTTCCGGGTGTAGCCCTGACAGCACAGGGAACGGCAGGCAGCGTGGTCCACTTCCACGCGGCGCCCGCCCGCGCGCGAGATCGAGCGCGGCCCCTTTAAAACCCATGTAAACAAAGCTTTGTTCCCCCAGCTCCCCTCCCTTGCGCTCCCCCGGCCCTCCGCTTCCTCCCACCCGGCGTCTCCGGGCCGCTGACGTTGCCCGCGCCTCTACGCCGTCCCAGCCGCGCTGCGCATTCTCCAACCCAGGCCGGCCGGCCGGGGCCTGCGCAGCCGAGCGGCGCTACGCCACGAGCGTAGAGCGCCGAGGCCCCAGCGCGCAGGCGCAGCGGCGACGGCGGCGGCAGCGGCGGCGGCGGCCCCGGCCGAGGTGCGCGCTGGGGGGGAGGGGGGGCCTGAGAGGAGCATGAATGGAGCAAAATGGCGGATCATGTGCAGGTGAGCGAGCGGCGGGGGAGGGGGCGGCCGCGGGAGCGGGGCCGAGGAGTGCGGGGCGCACGCGGGGTCCCAGGGCTCGAGCCCGCCCGGGGCCCGGCAGGCCGCGTCGCCGCCGCTCCGGAGAGGCCGAGCCGCCGCCCGTCCCGCAGCTCGGGGCCTTTCCCGCCTCCCGGACCGGGGGCCTCCGCCATCCCCTCCCACCCGGCCCCACGCCTCACGCGAGGCGCTGGAAGGGCAGAGTGGTCAGCTGGCGCGCAGAGCCGCGGCCCGAGGCCTCCGCGCAGCCCTTGGGGAGCCCCCCCCCCCCACACCCCAAGCCGGGAAGGAGAGGACCCCCTCGCGGACTGTCCTGAGGGGGCCCCCCCAGGTCACACCGCCGGCCCTCCGTGATCAACAAAAAGAGAGCCTCACTTCGCGAACCCCTCTCTCTCGATTCTTTCCTGTCGCCATCCTCCTCACGCCCCCGAATCCGAGAGACCCCCCCCACCTCCCCCGGCCGGTCCACTACCCCAGCCCCGAAGCGTCCTCCGCTCCCACTTCCCATTGGCACAACCGGGAGGCCCGAGCACCCCGTCCTCCAAAATGGGAGCTGAGGCCTTGGCCCGCCTCCCCTCGCATCCCCCTTGCCACAGCCTAGGAGTTGAGCGCCCACACCTCCCGTGAAACACGGGGTGGAGGGGGGTGTGTCTGAAACCAGAGCTGCAGGGTTGGGTGCAGGCAGCACTCGGGAGGGTCTTGATCCTGCTCCAGAGCTGATGGTGGGTGCTTTGGGGCCAGGCCACTTTTTCCCTCGTAGATACAGCCAGACCGGAAAAAAAGGATAACCCACACCTAACCCAGTAGTAGCTGGAGCAAGTGCCAGCTGTTTCTTGCAAACTAGGTAAAGTTTTTGCTGTCTGGGGCTTCTACTCTCTGACAGTTACTGATGCAAATCCATTGTCAGGAATCTTTGGGTTTTCTGTGTAACAAACCCCACAGCTTTGGGGCTGTGGGAAGTAAAGATGAGAGAGCAGAGTCGCCTTTATTTTGCACGCTGTGTGGCATCTTTCCCCAAGTTCAAAGAGTAGTCTTATTCTGAGTGTGTTCAAAGAAAGTGGGATGGTGGGACTTCTAGTCGTTTCTTTGACAGAAGAAACTGATTAAAGACTCACTTCATAAGCTTGAGATTGGTGGAGCTGCACTCTGGAGTGGGTGGAACTTATCAGGATAGAATTATATCGCAAAACTTAACCACAAATGGAAGACCACAAGATTCGTGTTCTGCAGCAGTGTGGTGGCCTAATTCAGAAGGAGCAGTAAAACATGGCAGAGTGATGATAATAATAGCGTAGAAGCTACAGTAGTAGCTGTTTCTATTGTAAAGGCATGAAGGTATTCATACGATTTCCTTTTTTTTAATTTTTTCATCTTAAAAAAGTCGGTAGTTCAGAATTAGCTCTTACACTTAAAGGAACAGAGCCAAAGCACAGAACTGATGTGAGACTTGCATAAAGTAAACCCAGGCGAGCCGGGTGGTCTTTGACGCATGCCTTTAATCACAGCGCTCAGTAGGCAGAGGCAGGCAGATCTTCGAGTTCGAGGTCATCCTGGTCTACAGAGCAAGTGCCAGGACTACATGGAAAAACCGTGCCTGGGAAGGGGGTGGGGGATAGAACCCAGGTGAAACAAAGTTTTTGAGTCCAGTCTTTTTGCTAAAAGGGGAAAATGTGCAATGAGTATT